CGATGGGGGTCAGCAGTGGAAGAAATTCAGCCCGACGACGAAGACAGAAATCACCGCTACTCCCCTCTAGTAGTAGACAGGACACCCATTCCAGATGCCCAAGACCGCCCATCTGAGCTTGAGTTTCTGCGGCTAGAGTAGACGACGCCACGCGACGCAAACGGTAACTCTTCCAGACCAAGGGGCTCCAGGGGCTCAACTCGTTTTGGATCATCCTCTCATCCGTAGCAGCAATGACAGATCCAGCCCGTGTCCCTGACTTCGACGCATTTTGATTTGACGCGTCAGCGTGCATGATAACTCTCCATCTGTCGATGGGAATGGCCTTGATCTTCCACGAAAGATTTGAAAACTGCTTAGCTCGACGGGCGATTGTGTTATCGTGTCTCACTTCGCCGACTGTCGGTCTCGGCATGCATTGTTGACTCATGCATGCCTGCGCTGCTAGACCAGGTCTGGGCTCTCGAGCTAGCCAGTTCCCGCCCCCAAGCATGGCCCTGAAGTTCGCGATTTCCTTCTCAGTCGCGGGGGTCCCAGGGGGGGCTCGAGGTCTGACTCCAGCAGGTTTCATGCTTTCAGCGAACTCCTTCTGAGACACGGCGACTCCCTTTGTCCTGGGATCCCGGCTGATGTTTGACCCGCAGAACTTGCCCTCATTGATCTTCCACTTCGGAAGCGGAAACTTTTCTGACATGAGGTACTTGAGAAAGGCATCATACTTCCCACCTCTTCCTCCAGCCAGGATATCGTCCACGCGCGCGGCGATGGGGCCGCACAGCCTGCGGCCCTCGAAAAGAAAGAACATGCACGGGTCCAGCTTCGACTGCCTCCAGCCCTCACTTCCACCAGTCGGCAGCCAGTCAAGGATCGTGTTCTTGAATTTTCCCCACCACTGAGCTGGGGCATCGGGGAATCCGTAGATCGGCCTGATCACCTTCGGCAGCTGGTCGGGGCGCATCCCAGGCAGACCACCTCGAGGCTGTCGCAGACAAAGGTCACCGCCTTCACGCTGAATCGGATCGGCCTCCAGGAACGCACCCTCCACGTCGCCGATCTGGACCTGGAAGCCGTGGGATGCCAGCAACTGGTACGCCACCACCTTGCCGTTCTGGGACAACGTAGGAGCGGGTGTCTTGTTCTCTCGCAACAGCGTCGTCAGGTTGGGGTCCAAGTAGCCTTCACTCCGCAAGCGCGCCTTGGCGATCTCCGACTCGGCGTCGTCGATCTTGCTGGTCAGGATCATCCTGCCCCCCGCGATTCGCTCCGGCGTGGTCCGTCGCGCCTCGTCTGACTTCACTCTGTCCTGCGGTTCGAGTGCCTGCTGCACCTCAATCAGATTCGTCATCTCCTTCGTCACGCCGGCCAGGATCTTCTTCTCACCCTCTGGGCTCTGCCACTTCGGGCCCTTCCGATTTATCTCTCGCCGACCTCCAGCCAGTAGAGCGTCCTCGAGCTCTTCCTCTGTCTCTGGGTTCACGTACAGCACTCTGAGTTCCTCGTCGTCTTCTTCCGCATCGATCACCACCAGGGAGCCCCTCTCCTCCTCGACTCGTGGGACCTTCTGAGGCGGCTCCTTGTCGAACTGCTCCTGGCCCGGATCCTCCTGCTCGGGCACCTTGGTCGGCCTAACCATCTCATCATTCACCGTCCTCTTGACGACGAGACGGCGTCTCACTGTTTGCTGGGTCTGCACCTCCGGAACCTCCTCCTGGCCAGTGACCTGCTCGCCCTCGTCCTGTGCCTCGACTCCCGCCTGTCCATCTTCCGCGCCATGTTCAGACGCCAGCCCCTCTGTCTCCTGCTGCTGAGCTGGATCGGTACCTGGCGCCTGCTCTTCTCCACCTTCTCCGCTAGAAGGTCGTTCGTCAGTCGTGATGTCCATGAAGCCTCGCTGCGGACCCTGGCCGCCCAGGAACTCCTTCGCCAGGGCACGGAGTTCAGGTTGAACGACCTCAGCAGCCAGCTTCTCCTCAGGTGTGGCCAGGCGCAGCTGCTCAGGGGCGGCTTTGATCACCACGCCCGGCATGGCCACCCAGTAGTTACCCTTCACATGTCCCAGAATGACAGCCGAGCCTCGCCATCGGGCGTGAGCCTTTTTACCCAGGATGCCGCGTCCACGCCGCCACACAGCAACACGATCACCTGGTTGAAAGACGCGGGCAGTCCTGGGTCGGCTACCCAGAGCAACGCGAGCAGCTCGGTTGTCCATATACTCAAGCACGGCTTGACGAGCACATTGGCGACGCTTCTCCATCTCGGCGAACGGCTCGTCGTGCAGGGCTGCGCTGTTGACCGCCACGTTCGGCGTCTCCTGCATCAGGTCGGTCGGCACCTCTGGGTTTCGTCCCAGTGCAATCTGGTATGGAGAGTGTCCGCGAGCACGAAGTAAAGAGTTATTGGCCATCACCACTGCTCTGACGCACTCTGTCCAGCCGTCCTTGTCCTTCGGAATGTTCTGGTCCGGTACTGTGTTGAGGATGCCTTCGAACCATGCACCGTGGCGTTCGGCGTGTCCCACTTGTTCGTGAGCCTCGCCAGCCGCGTCCGTCACCTCGATGCCCTGCTTCTCGAAAGAGTCGATGATGTCCTGCCCGAGGTTGGTCTTCCCAGCATCGCACTTTAGGAACTTGGGCGGCCCGTAGGGCATGCTCCAGCTGGTCTCGAAGATCTCCTTCAGCACCCTGCCCGTCTCCTACTCGAAGAAGGGAGTCATCTGCTGAAGACCGCTGCCCGGGCACACCACGTTGAGCGCCTTGACCTTCATGCCCTCCTTCCAGCCGGGAAGCTCCTTAGCGTCCATTTCCACCAGTCTCAGTGGTGCCACCTTGGACGGAACCTTCACAGGCCGGGAGGACTTGGGAAGCTTCCGTCCCTCGCAAACCGAGCACGAACACTTCCGAGCCATCGCCACCACCATCTCGCTGGCCCTCGCGTGCTTCAGGATGCGCACCATGTCCTCGTTGCTCGGGTGCCCCAGGTTCGCGTGGAGCCAGCGCAGTGATGATTCCAATGACAGCTTCCTTCTCTTCACGATCTCGGGGTCCTCAGTCACCGAGGGCACCTCCGTATAATACCTGATGTCGTTCACCTCCAGCTGACACAGTATTGCCTCTGCGACATTCATGCTCAACTCCTTCGGGTACCTCTCGGAATATTCACTTCTTTTGATGCCTTGTATGCTGTCCCGGAACCACTGATGTTCGTGGTCCCGATGGCATCGCAATTCTTTCATCACCCACTTCAGCGAGTCCGCGCTGGTTGCAAAACACCACTCTTTTGACATCATGTCCGAGACGGGATCGCAAAGTCCGGCTCGACACCCACCCACTGATACCCTGTGGACCTTTTTCTCGTTGCACAGATTCCCCACGGGGGCACAGTCCCAAGACTTCGCACTCGGTGGAACTTCTATGGTGAAGTACTAATCTTGACCGTCTTGAAACTGTCCTCTCCACTGCTCGTGCAAACATCCCACCTCTCTCCCTCCCACCCTCCCACCCTCCCTGTTCAGACAAGACCGTGACTGTAGGTACTACGTGGCACTCGGCCGCGACACCGACGCCGACGACGACAGCGACATCGACGACGACGGCGCCGCCGACAGCGACTGCGACGACACCGACGACGTCTCCAATGTTTTCGACGACGACAACGACGACGACGACACCGACGACGACGACGACAACGACGCCGCCGACGAAGACGACGACGACGTCGCCAACGGAGACGACGACGAGAGAGGAGAAAAAACGACGACGGCGACAACGACGACAACGACGATGGAGGAGGGAAAACGGCGACGACGCCAACGACGAAAAAGGAGGAAGGACGGCGACGCCGACGACGACAACGACGAGGGAGGAGGGAAGACGACGACGACAACGACGACGAAGACGACGACGACGGCGACGAAATAGGAGGGGCGTTGACGAGACGCCGACGACGGACGACGACGACGAGGGAGGAGGATAACGACGAGATAAGAGTGAAGACCACGACGACGACGACGACGACGACGGCGACGAAATAAGAGGGACAACGACGAGACGCCGACGAAGACAACGAGGGAAAAAGGACGACCACGGCGACAACGACGACGGAAGCGACGACGACGCCAAGACGACGACGACGACGACGAAGAAAGACAGAAGACGACGACGGCGACGACGACGACGACGAGGGAGGAGGGAGGAGGAGGACGACGACGACGACGCAAGAGCGCGCGCACAAACTTTTGTTGAAAACCCGTGTTGCGAAACCTTGTGTTTGTGTATTTTTTGGACGCACGATTTCGAAATCTTTCCGGAACCGAGGGTTTTTGAAGGATGTCGGCATACGCCCGCAGCGACGCGCGCGTCCGCACTTCGTCCCATTTCTTGCATGGGATTCTCGCGACGGCACACGCGCAAGGGCGTTCGACAGATTTCGACATGCGCGCGCGCGAAGCCCGTTTGGTAGCATTTTGTGAAAATCTTGGAAACCCGATGGTTTTCTTAAGATTTCGCAAGAGCTCGCGCGTAAGCTGTTTTAGCAAATCAGCGTTGCGAAACCATGTGTTTTTGTATGTCTTTTGGAAATTAAATTTTGAAATCTCTCCGGCACCGAAGGTTTTTGAAGGATTTCGGCATGCGCGCGCGACGACGCGCGCGTGCGCATTTCGTCCCATTTGTTGCCAGGGGTTCGCCAAAAAGTGCTATGTTAGAACGAAACATGTCACCGAGTAGTGTTGTTGTACAGAAGGACCCTCAGGGGGGGGGACCGGCCTGCCTGGGATAGTATGATTCCATATTTAGGATGGACGAGTATGCAGTGTATATATATATATATATATATATATATATATACATATACATATATATATATATATATATATATACTTGACAAAGCTTGCTGATTAATGTTACGCAGAAGACCGTGACACGCCGTCTCCGTTCCATAGTTTTTTCCTGGCTCGAGCCCCCTCCGCGGGGCGGAGGGGAAACGGGCCGGGGGGCCCTTGTATGCTGGCGCAGCTTGCCCAGGCTGCCGTGCTGGGGGTGGCCAACCTGTGCGGTGCGTGGCTGGGGAAGTGCCGGCCGCCGCCCTGCCCGGCGGCGCCGCCGTGCCCGGCGGCGGCAGCCTGCCAGTGCCCGCCGGCGCCGGCGCTTACGCGCCCGCAGGTGAGCGTCACCTGCCCGGCGCCGGCCGCGGAGGCCCTCGCCTGCCCAGGGGCGCCGCCGCCGCCGCCGTGCCCGCCGGCCACCGCGCGCCCGCCGGGCGACGCGGCGAGGGCGGGCGCGCCCGAGGCGGAGAGCCGGCACGTCTGCTGGCCGGAGGCGAGCGTGGCGTTGAGCTTCGCGTGCGGGCTGGGCGGGCTGGCGGCGCTGGTCGGGCTCGTGCTGGGCACGTGCTGCGCCAGGCGCCATGCGGCTTCAGCGCAATCCTCAGGGCACCTTGCACCTGGCCGCCCGCAGCCGCCTGGTGATCTTCGGGGCCCCCGAGTGGCGCTGGGCAGTGTTGCTCGCCGGACTGGTGTCCTCGGCCTTCTGGGCCCTGGTGCTGACGCTGGATGGTGACATGTGCATCGAGGGCCGCGGCGATGCCGAGGCAGTGCGATGGTCGTGGCCGAGCAACGAGGTGCCGAAGAGAGCCCCTCGGCAGCTGATCTACCACTTGGGGCAGAGCGTGGGGCGCCCTGGTGGGAACGGCCGCCGCGAGGACGACGTGGCCTTCAACGGCTCCGAGCTGTTGGCGGGCCGCAAGGGGGTCAACGCGCTGATGAAGAAGCCCGAGCTGATCGAAGACATCGGCGCTGGCGACGTCGAGGCCTATAGGTCGGAAGAGGCCCACCATGACACCCGAATGCTGAAGATGCAGAGGGACTCGCGAGGTGCTTGCCGCCGGCCAAGGCGGAACGAGGCGTGCGACGTGTTAACGTGGCAGAGCAGCAGGCCCGACCGGCGCCTGGACCTCCGACGGCGGACTGGTGCCCGCAGGCCCCCACCCACCGCAGCGAGGGCCCCGTCGGCGGGGATCGCCGCGGCGAGGCGGACAGCCGGCTCAGCCTGGACCAGTGGGGCGTCACGGGGCACGAGACCTTGGCCAAGATCCTGGAGCGCCGAGGCACCCACGACCAGTGCGACGCGGTGAACCGGGCGGGCGGCGAGGACATCCTGAGTCGGACGCGGCTCGATGAGCGCTTCTACTACGAGGTGGGCCGGGGGGCGGAGACCGGCAAGTGGCAGGACGTGAGGGGCGGCAGGGCCGCTCGCGTGGAAAAGATGGCGATCTTGCGCAGGAAGCGCCGCGAGTACGGAGAAGCGAAGATGGCTTCGGAGCTCCTGTCGCACGTGGTGGCCGAGCTAGGGCGGGACTCTGGCATTGCGGAGCAGATGAGGACAGCCCGCGAGGGGGAGGCATCTCGCGGGCAGGCATGACCAGTGAGCGGGGCCGCCGCGGGAGCCCCCGATCCCGCGGCGAGTGCGCAGGGGGGTCGCCGGTCATGAGCCCCGGCGGGACCTATGTACGTGGCTCACATGAGGGGAGGCTGTCAACCGTGATCTCCTTCCTCTACCTCACTACCGCCTGCCGAGCTTGGACGGCGGCGAGGGCGGCCAGCCAAAGTCTCGCCGGGGGCAGCGCCGTCGGGGAGAGCGAGCTCGCTGCGAAGACTGGGCTCGCTGCTGTGCCACCACGCTGAACCAGCTCGACCGCGGGTCTGCCGACCCGCAGCCGCTGGGCCTGCAGGCTAGCGCCGGGCAGGAGCGCAGCCTGAATATGATCCAGGCCGCGGTAGCCGAGCTAGGCCGTCCGCCCGCCGACCTGACGCGCCAGGGAGCTCTCGCGGAGCCCCTGGCCAAGCGCAGCTACACCGGCGAGAAGGTTTCTGTCGCTCGGCTCGACATCTCCCTCTTGTCCCTGCCTTCAGGCGGGGGCGGTCCCCGGGCACTCTCGACGCTGCTCGGAGACGAGGGTCCAATGGTAGTCGGAGCCTTTTTGAAAGACAAAGTCTTGCCACCATCGGAGGCGGCGGCGCGGGTGGCCGAGTCGGCCTTGAAGCGCCCATGCTATGACCCTTCGCTGCAGGGTAGGCCGCGCAGGCACGCGCGCCTCCTAGCGGCCCTTGACGGCGCAGGCATGCTCGAGTGGAGGCGGCATGGGTCGCCCCGAGTAGGCCTGTTCACCGTGTGGAAAAAGAGCGGCAAGCAGAGATTGATTGTGGACGCTCGTCTGCCTAACCTGTGTTTCGCTCAGCCTGACCCTGTGGACCTCGCCACGGGCGGATCTTTTGCCTCTCTCGAGGTCGACCCCGGAACCCCGGTGTGCCTGGCGCAGGTCGACATCCAAGATGACTTTGTACCATCTCCTCCTCCCTCCCGAGCTTGCGCCTCTCTTCTGCCTCCGACCCGTCACGGCGGGACTCGCTGGAGTTGGCGAGCTCGACGGAGCTCCTGTCTCGCCCTCCCAGCTGGTGTACCCACACTTGCGTGTTGTGCCTATGGGGTGGAACCATGCCCTGTGGTGGTACAAGCGAATTCACGAGTATCATGCCTTTCGGCAGCCCGACGTGACCCCTGCCAACAAGCTCTCGGATAAGAAGCCGGGAGTTCGCCTTGGCCGCTGGGGGGTTGCTCACACTGAAAACGTAATCAACTTCGCCGCCATTGGTCGCCAGGCCGCAGAGGTCGACGCCGTGGCCGATTCTGTGCACGAAGCCATGTCAGCCGCGGGGCCCAGGATGCATCCTCATGAGAGCTCGACTGGTGGCTCTGTCTCGGGATGGGATTTTAGCGATGAGTGCCCCTTGGTTCGCGTGAGCCCTCGCGTGGAGGCTCCGTCTCGGGATCGAGGGCCTCTTGGAGAGGGGCTTCGCTACCGGTGGGGACCTCGAGGCCATCATCGGACATTTCACTTTCGCCGCTCGAGTTCGGCCTGAGGCTCTCTGCGTGTTTTCGGCAGCGTACGCCTTCGCTCAGCGGGGGGCCGACATTCGTCGTAAGTTGTGGACTGCCGTGCGGAGAGAGCTTCGCTGGGCAATGGGTCTCCTCCCCCTCCTCCGTCGTCGCCTCGATGCCGAGTGGAGCCCAAAGGTGCGGTGTGCAGACGCCTCCCCCCGGGGCCGGGGCGTGTGCTTGGCGGAGCGCGATCTCCGGTCCATCGCGGAGGCTGGCCGGCGGTCGGACCGGTGGCGCTTCTCGCGAGGGGCTGAGGATCGGGTTCGGCCGAGGGGCGCCTCGCTCCGGGAGGAGCTCAACAGGGCCGCGGCGGCCGGTCTGGATGACCTGGACCGTGTCGGGACGGCCCGGCACCTGGATGCCCTCGGCGAGGTTGACCGGAGTGGGGCTGTCCCAGAGATCGGATCAGATCCTTCAGGGGCCCTGGACCACCGTCTCGGCCGGCCGCTGGAGGCGTCGAGGCGATGCCCGTCTTGAAGGGGCGCGCTCTGGTTTGGGGGGTCCGTCACGTGAGCAGGGGTTAAGTGAGTTTGGCAAGCGAGTCCTGTTCCTGACCGACGGGCTGTCCGAGGTGCTGGCCCTCGAGAAAGGCCGATCGTCTGGCGTGGCCTTAATGAGAGTGTGCAGGCAGTGGGCGGCGACGGTGTTTGCGGCCGATTTGTATCCTCGTGTGCGGCGGGTTCGGTCTGAGTTGAACGTGGCCGATGAGCCTACCAGCCGAAGCCATTTGGGTTCAAACCACCAGGCTTTCGGCCTCCGCCAGGGCTGACAGAGCCGGATTTCGAGCGGGCTCCCTCGCCCGTGCGGAGGTGCCCTGAGCCTGCCGGCGCCTCAGGGCGCGCCCCTCCCGTCGGGCAGCCCGTTCCGACCGGGGGGGCCAGCGCAGCGGTGGGCGGGGCCAGCCGCGCCGCCGACCCTGGCGCGCGCGGCGCCGCAGCCGCCGGCGCCGTGCGCGTGCCCTGCGAGGCGGGCCCAGGCGACGACGACGGCCCGACGGGTCAAATCGCGGCCGGAGGTGCAGGCCGCCCTCTACCAGCGGGTCTACCACACCCCCCGCGCCGAGTGCAGGAGCTTCGCCGCGACCCAGGGCATCCGCCTCGGGACCGCCGCGGTCTGCAACGGAGTGGCCCTGGAGCGGGCCCATCAAGCGCTCTTCGACAGCGGCGGCGTGCAGGAGGGGTCCAGGCTGAAGGCGGTGCTGCGCCACTACCACCCGCGGCTGCTGGTCGCGAAGGGACTGCCCGGGTTTGCCCGAGCCCTGAAGGGGTGGAGGCGGCTCGTGCCGCCTCGAAGCCGACTCCCGCTCCTGTGGGAGGTCGCGCGCGCGGAGGCGAGCAGGCTGGCGGCCAACCCGTGCGCCGCGCGTCTCGTCGCCGTGATGTTCGTCTTCTGCCTCCAGCTCGTGGAGCTGACGTCGCCAGCCGGACGGCAGGTGGCGCCGCCAAGCCGGGCGGCCGGGCACGACGCGTGGCCGCTCGTGCTGTTCCCGATGGAGAAGAAAACGCCCAGCATAAGCGGCACCTGCAACGCGAGCATCGTAGGCGACCTGCCGTTCTACCGCTTCATCGGGAACATGCTGAAGCTGCCCAAGGCCAACGTCGGCGAGAGGGAGCTGGTGGCGCGGGCGCAGTACATGCTGCTGGTGCAGGCGTGCCAAGCGGCAGGCCAGCAGCTCAGGTTCGGGGGCCCGCCAGGCCTCTACCAGCTGCGAGACGGCGGGGCGCCCGCCGACCTCGCCCGCGGCCGCCGGAGCTCGGCAGAGGTGCCAGCTCGCGGGCGCTGGGCGACCGACAGCTCGGTGACAGAGTACGGCAGGGGGGGGCGCATCGCCGACCAGCTGGCCAAGCTGCCGATGCCCTCCTTCGAGCACGCCGTCGGCTGCGCCCAGAAGATTGGCGGCACCCTCTGCAAGCGCTGCCGGCCTTTGCCGCCCGTGCGGGCGGTGCCGTGGCGCTCGAAGTGTTCAGCGGCTCGGGCAACCTCAGTCGGGCCTGGCGGCGGCGGCAGCAAGCCCTAGGGTTTGCCGTCTTCGAGTGGGACCTCCGCTGGGGCGATGAGTATGACCTGACCCGCCGTCGCGTGCAGCGCATTGTGCGAGGATGGGTCAACAACGGTCTGGTCGCCGCCGTGTGGATGGGGACCCCGTGCCACAGCTGGAGCCGCGCGCGGGGCATCCGACCTGGGCCCCCGCCACTGCGAAGTGATATACATGCAATGGGCCTGCCTGACCTGGCGCCTCGGGATGCTGAGAAGGTCAGGGTCGGCAATGCTCTAATGAAGTTTCCGGCCTCGCTAGTCGCCTTGTGCCAGGCCGTGCGAGTGCCGGTCGCCATCGAAAATCCTCACTTGTCTAGAATATGGCTGACGCCACAGTTCAAGGGTCTGCTGAGAAAATGCCGCACGGTCGTGTTAGACGTTTGCCAATTCGGCCAATCGTGCCGGAAACGCACCCGCATTGTGTACGATCATGTTGATTTGCAGCCCCTCAGCCGTCTTTGCAACGGCCCCCGCGGGATCTGCTCTCGCACGGGTCGCCCGCGCGACCAGCTTCAAGGAAATAATTATGACGGCATTTTTCTCACGCTTTTGGCCGAGGCTTACCCAGCCGACCTCTGCGCCAGCGTCGTTCGCTGCTTCCAGTTCGCGCCTGCAGAAAACCAAAGTCAGAGAATGCAGAAGTTGTGGTGCGGCTGATGCCAGGCGCGTTTTTGGAGTGAAGTTCCGTTCTGTGCAAAAAAGAGCTGGAGTTCGCTTCGCGTTTTGAGTTGGGTACTGTCCCGAGCTCGAGACCTTCTGATCTGCGATTGTAAAGTCGGGGGACTTGTCGACACCAGAGATAGCATTGCTTCGCGCGTCTGGCGGGAAAAAGGGCCTGGGCGTTACATTTGACAAAGCTTGCTGATTAATGTTATGCAGAAGACCGTGACACGCCGCCTCCGTTCCATAGTTTTTTCCTGGCCAACCGTCAGCCCCACCGCCGCCCTCTCCTGTTAATATTACAGGAACGAAATAGGAGTTCGCTTCGCGTTTTGAGTTGGGCACTGCCCCGAGCTCGAGACCTTCTGATCTGTGATTGAAAAGTCGGGGGACTTGTCGACGCCAGAGATAGCATCGCTTCGCACGTCTGGCGGGGGAGAGGGCCTGGGCGCTACATATATATATATATATGTATATATATATATATATATATATGAGATCATACTATCCCAGGGAGGGCCGATAAGTCCGGGGGGTGGGTGCGTGTGCGCGTGCGCGCGCGCGTGTGCGCGCGCGCGCGCGTGCGTGGGTGGGTGGGGTGGGGGGGAGGGGGGGGTAGAGTCTATTCTCTTCTCAGAAAGGAGAATTTACCCTTCCTGATCTGCATCTTCGCCACTACTACGCAGAATCGCAAGTGCCCGGTTGCCGCCTTGACCATCTTCCGATGCTCCTCTGGGTCCTTCCT